GGATATTTTAATCTGCATTTTCATGTCCTAAATCATATTATAAAAGGAAAGATATATATTTCAGCTGCAGGCCACAAAGAAGCCATAAAAACAGATTTATTTCAAATTATTTCTGCATTGAACACAAAAAAGGAAAAAAAGTTACTGTCATGTCCGTCAAGTCTCTGTCCATGTGTACACATTCTATGTCTCGTCTTTCCTGTTTTATTTTGAAATCACTTCACCGGTTGTTTCTGTTCCAGTTTTACTTCCTGCACCTGTCTTGCCACACCGGTTCCCTGACGGCTTCTCCGCACCTGTTTCCCATCCTCCCTCATTACCTCGTGTATATTATTATGATTATATTACCTTGTGTGTCTCACTGTCTCGTCACCAGTTCGTTGCACTTCACGGTCCTCGTACCAGCGTTTATCAAGTCAAGTCATAGTCTGTTCGATCACGACCTTGTTTCTGTTTTTTGGACTTTGCCTTCTGCCTGGATACCTTTGCCTGTGTGACTGATTACCCGTGTACCGAACCTTGTTTGGCATTGAACCTGCCTTTTTGCCTGAACCTTTTCTGAGTCAAGCATTTGTGACCACCTATTCTGAATGTTTTACAGCTATCCCTCATGTCTTCCAGCATACAAATAACACTGCATGTACATGTTAACAAGGTCCTGTGTTTATGCCTTGATTTACTCAGAGCTGCTTTAGCAGCATGAGGGGCGCCTCCGTCATGTTAGGCAGGTGGTTTTAATGTTGTGGCTGATTGATGTATTCTGTTATTCCAGCAAAGTTTTAGCCCTTTTCTTTTGCGGTGGTATGTGACATCAATGAATAGCATCCCAAATAGAATCATAATGAATATTTATTAACAGTAAGGCAACGCTAGCTTATATTAGACATGTACCATCACAATGTTCTAAAGTAAGCATTTGCAAGCTGTGAACAACAGTATTTATTCAATTTAATTTTATTTGTATAGTGCAGTTTATAACATATGTCATCACATAGTGCTTTACATAGTACGGTGTAGACTTTACAAATATAAACAGAGAACCCAACAATCCATGAATGAACATTTGTGGCTTAAATATAATCAGGAAAGTTAAAAAGCTGCTTCAGTTTATATTTTAAATGGAAAACTAAGTGAAAAGTTCACCTCGTGTCATACCTACACAAGCAAGGAATGACCGGATATCTTTATACAGCTGAAAGTAACAGCTGATGCAATAATAAATCATCATCATCTACAGTCAGTTCTGTCTGACGCAGTTTGTAAGAAATCTGCAAAAGACTCAAGTTATTCAGATGATAAAAACACTTTAAAGGAGCAACACACTTTAACCAACAATGTAAATATACAGATGTTTATATGGGCTAGAGGTGCATGGAAAGTTAGTTTGCATTGGCAAATAAAAAAGAAACAAATGAGAAGGCATACGAGCATAACCTTTGGCATAAATGATACTAAGACCTGCTCTGGTAGATGTGGTTGTGAGGAGCAATATAAAACATTGTTTAATGGTCTTTCCAGAAACAACAAAAGAAGATATTCAGGAAGAAAAAAAAGATAACGAATTTTTGTCTCATTACCAGATTACTAGGATCATCAGTGAAACAAAAAAAAACTCCGCAAAATAATGTCTGATGTAAGAAGAAATAAAAATACCACATTGTTGTAATTGCAGGTCAAATTTTTCACCGTTATGAATCGAAAACATGTCTTTCAGGGTTTCACCGTAGACAAAATATGCACAATCTTCTTCAGTCAGGTTACTATCTGCATCTTTAGAGAGGTACGCACTTTGAAGACATGTAGCATCCAGCTCTATTGTTTTACAGTGGAATAGACACATTCACTCTCAGTGTTCCTTTGTCTTTGTGATCTGTTGGGGGGCTTAACACTGAAAGCAGCATAGTGGAGATTGTCTGCATCCTGGTTAACCTGTGACAAGAAATTTGACATGCAGATGAAAATGTGGTTCCTTTAACTAATNTGACCTGCTTGAGACCCTACAGACAAAACACATTCTAAGCATGCATTATGGATATTTTAATCTGCATTTTCATGTCCTAAATCATATTATAAAAGCAAAGATATATATTTCAGCTGCAGGCCACAAAGAAGCGATAAAAGCGGATTTGTTTCATATTATTTCTACATTGAACACAACCAAAAAAGAAATCCTGTCTTACTCGAAAGCAAATGAAACAGTGATACAGTTCTACTGCTTTATGCTGTAGTACATGCAGTCACTCCAGGTAGGATCCCTCTGGCTTTTTGATCTGTTGGTCAGGTTGACACTTGCGGCAGCGTTATAGATGTTTTCTCCATGTCGGTGACCCTGTTAAAAAAGTATTTATTTGCAGTGTTCATATCAATGTACATGTAATCAAACTATGTCCACAAATACATTTTTAAATGAGCATTTATTACTCACCTTTACATCTGAACTTGATAAGTTTGCTTGAGACTCTGGTTGTGAAACATAGAAAAAATATTCAGAAGTCAAATTTAGTGAATGTAAACTGTTAGATTAAACAATAATTTTTAAAAAAGCACCGGTTACCTGGAGAGTTGCAGCAGTTTTCCTTGTTCATCAGATACACTGAGAAAGCCAATACAACACTCAAAAAGGAGGTGAATGTAAAGGCCCCTCTCAAGAAATAAGCAACAGAAGCACCAATGTTCTCCTCATCTGCAAAGCCAACATTAAAACAGAGCTTTCAGTACATTTGATGAAAGAGTGTTAGTTTGTATTTTTTTGTTTTACATGCAACAACTTAATGGTACTCACCCTTAAAGCTCAACTTGGTCCCATTTCCAAACACTATGTGTCCACATGAGGCAACAGCACAGTAGTAGGTTCCAGCATGAGACGGGTTGAGGTTATTCATCGGCAGGTTGTAGACACAGGTTTGTGTTTGTGTGTTGGGTTTCCTGTCACACTGATCATTTTTGCCTCCGTGGGTGTAAAGGACTCCTGGATGAGAGTCTTCTTCATTTTTGAACCAGTAAACACTGTGTTCTCCATCACAGATCCCAGTGTGTACTGTACAGTTCAGAGTCACAGAGTCTCCTGGTTGGATGATCTCAGACGGCGACTGCTGGACTGAAGGTCGGATGTTCAAACCTGAGCCTTTTACGTTGACGATGGTGCCCTCTGCAAACTCCAACAAGAATGAGTTGCTGCTTGCACAGTAATAAGTAGCTGAGTCTGAAATGCACAGATCTGTTATCTTCAGATGATTGTTTCCTGTTTCAGTGTCCAGTGTGAAGCGCGGGTTGCTCTTGAAAATATCATAAAATGTGGCTTCTTTGTTAAACTTGTAGAACATGGAGATGAGCCTCAGTCTCTGTCCCAGACTTTGCTTGTACCAGTAAAACCTTGTTGCATCTGTTTGTTCATAGAAACACCGTAAAGTCAAGCTATCACCAACATCAGCTGATATAAAACGAGCCTCTTGACGATGAGATGAGAATTTCTGAGTCGCCACTCGAGCTGATAGGAAATGAGACAAAAGAATGCAGCATTCAATTTCCATGAAAGAATTCAGTAAATCAGTACATTAAAATTTTTTAAAACATTTGCATAAAGCAGTGATCATAATTGATACATATTTGAATTACAAAATCATAACTCACCTATTGTCTCCAGGAGCAGACATGTCAGACACACAACAAACTTGGGAGGTGTCATCGCGCTCAGACTGCTGAGTTGAATGAAG